GCCCTTGCCAGATTCCTCCCCCTCACTCCCTTATCTACGTGGCAGGTTCCATCTTGCCTCTCTAGCCAGTGAAACAAGCACACATGCCAGCTCTTTCCTTGGCCCACCAGAGGCTTCCCACTCAGTTCCAATTTTTTTTTTTTTTTTGAGGAAGATTGGCCCTGAGCTAACATCTGTGCCTATCTTCCTCTACTTTATATGTGGGACGCCTACCACAGCATGGCTTGGTAAGTGGTGGATAGGTCCACGCCTGGGATCTGAACTGTTGAACCCTGGGCCGCTGAAGTGGAGCACACACACTTAACCGCTGTGCCCCCGTGCCGGCCCCTCAGTTCCAATTTTTGATCTAAAGACATTCACTTTCCGACTGATTGGAAGGCAGGGATGACGGGTGTGGAAATGCAGTTATGAGAAAACATGACCTCAGAGGTGAAAATAACTGCAGTAGCTGTTCAGAGTAGGATGCAGTCACTGCCCATTGGGGGCCAAGACATTCAGGCTCTGTAGACTTCCAGGATGAAGGTAACAAAGCAAAGCCCTGTGCCAGGAGAAAGACATTCCAGTCTGAGTGAGCAGCAGGAACAAAGTTTGGCACCCCTTGAGTAGAGAGTGTGTGGTAAGGGGCAGGCACCAGACAGGAGGAAACCAGACTGGAAAAGTAGGTTGGTCCTGATCACAGAGCACCTTGAGTGCATGCCAGGGCAGACTGGATTTCGTGAGGAGTAGTGGTAAGACATCAAAGGATTTTTTACTAGGGGCGTGACAAGATGAGATTGCACTTTAGGAAAATGACTGGGGCCAGGGTGAGGGATGCTTTGAGAGGGAGTGGAATTAAGCCAAGAAAACCAGTTGTTCACTGCAAGATCTATCCAGCCAGAAGATGTTGGAGACTTTCATTCTACCATTAAGCAAATATTTACTGAGCACCTACTATGTGCTAGGTAGTATTCTAGGTGTCAGGGATACGTCAGTGAACAAGACAAGCATCCCTGTCATCAGGGGACTTACATTCTAGCAAGAGAGAGAGACCAATTAACAGTTTGGATAAGTGAAACATCTAGTGTGTTAGATGATGACAAATGATAGAAAAAAAGGCTAGGGGTTCAAGGATTGCTGGGGGCAGGTTACAATTTTAAGAAGGGTGGCCAGGGAAGGGAGCCTCATCGAAGTGACATTTGAGGACCCCGAGGAGGTAGTTTGAACGTGGATACCACCAGAAGAAAGAAGGAGAGGATGGTTTGAGAGACATAGAAAGTAGAATCAAAAGGACACCATCAATAGGATGACAAGAGTGAGGGAGAAGGAAGAGCCCAAAAGAGATTTTTATTAAGAGTGGCACAAGGCCACTACAGACATCTGCACAGGTGGTACACGGCTCAGCCCGCAACGTGCCCAAGTGCACATGGCAGTGCATGTGTCTGAGGACGGTGATGCTGTTGAGTAAGACTGAAAACACAGTTCAGCCCTTGCTTTTCCTCCACTAGTTTTGTGTAGTAGTCTGTCTCCCCAGTTAGGTTGTAAGCTTCTTGAGGTGATGCTTGGATCACCCCTTAATACCTCCACATTGGCCGAGCCAAGTACTGAGCACATTCTGGGTGCTCAGTAAATAGGACTCTTGGAGGGTGCTTTCAACCCGCCCACGCTAGCCCGTGGCTGTACACACTCTGGAGCTCTCAACTCCGCCTCAGTGGCTGACTTTCCTCGTGGATGCTAGGAGGTTGGCCACTCTAGAGTGGGAAAGCCAAGGGTCCACTGTGCAGAGCTGGACATGGCCCCATGGAGGGTTTGGGTTGTGGACTGAGCAGCAGCCCCTGGCCCTGTGGACTCTTATGGCCCATCCTGGTGTGTTTGTGGGTGCTTCATGCCTTCTCCCTTAAGTTTCCCTCCTCATTCTTCAGTTCGTGGTTGTCCCCTGGTCACCTGTGGGCCTTGCTCAGTGACAGAGTATGGCCCCAGGGAGGGCATCTCTTATGCAGGCAGTGGGGCAGGGACTGGAGGCTGTTGGCTTCAGCACCCCACCCCCTTCTTTCTCTCAGAGCTCAGTGTGCCTCTTGCTGTGCCCTACCTGGACGAGCCCCCCACTCCACTGCACTTCTACCGGGACTGGGTCTGCCCCAACAAGCCCTGCATTATCCGCAATGCCCTGCAGCACTGGCCGGCCCTCCAGAAGTGGTCCCTTCCCTACCTCAGGTGGGGGCTGCCCTGGGTGGGATTGGGGGTGGTGCTTTGGGCATCTGGGCGTGGGCTGAATGTCCATTCCTCCAGAGCCACAGTGGGCTCCACAGAAGTGAGCGTGGCCGTGACGCCAGATGGTTACGCGGATGCTGTGCGAGGGGACCGCTTTGTGATGCCTGCTGAGCGCCGCCTGCCCCTGAGTTGTGTGCTGGACGTGCTGGAGGGCCAAGCCCAACACCAAGGGGTCCTCTATGTGCAGAAGCAGTGCTCCAATCTGCCCACTGAGCTGCCACAGCTGCTGCCTGATGTGGAGCCCCATGTGCCCTGGGCCTCCGAGGCGCTGGGTGAGTGGAGGCGGGGGCTGAACAGGGAAGAGATGGGAAGGAAGGAGTCCACCCTCCTTGCTGCTTCTCTCCCTGTGCTGAGGACTTGGCCCCTACTCTCGGCCCCACAGGGTCAAGTTCCCCGGTCCCCACGTCATATGGACAAACTACTGAAGATTGCTGCCCTTCCTTCCACCCCAGGGGACGGAGGGAGGGCCCTCCCAAGCTCACCCACCTCTGCTCCTTCTCCCTGTTCTCTCCCTGGAGCCCCTCTGCTCCCTGCTCAGGTTCTGGCCCGGCGCCACTGCATGGTGGTTATTTCCATCTTGGCCTTCAGGGACACCCACTCCTAACTTACCCTCTTCCCTCTGACATGCAGGAAAGATGCCTGATGCTGTGAACTTCTGGCTGGGGGAGGCAGCTGCAGTGACATCTTGTAGGTGTCGGGAATGCAAAGATCGGGGAGGGGGTGAGGGAGGAGAGAAGGGGAGGCCAAGAGTGGAAGACTGGGCCTGGATAGAAGTCGAACTGACTGCTCTTTAAGATTTCCTCTGGGATTCTGGGGCTCAGGTACAAGAGAGAGCCAGCCCTGACTGCTCAGATGGGGGAAGTACTCATGGCATTGGGGATGGAGAGCACTATTTCTTCTAGATCCCTAGAAAGCTCTCCTAGGCCAGCTGGGTCAGAGGGTAGACTCTGGAGAATCCTGTTTGCATTAATTTTCCTCTGGTAAATATGAGCCCAGGGCCTGGTGAGCATCAAGCCTCTGATGGGCAGAAGTCTGAAATCCCCGCCAGATTCCTTGGCACCCCCTTGAGGCTACTCCAACTTTGCATGCTCTTCTATTTCACTGTAAGCTGTCTTGGGGTGCAAGGCCCCTCCTGTGCCCCGCCCGTCATAACCCTGCCCCATGGGCCTTTGTGTTGGCAGTACATAAGGACCACTATGAGAACCTCTACTGTGTGGTCTCGGGAGAGAAACACTTTCTGTTACATCCGCCCAGTGACCGGCCCTTCATCCCCTACGGTAGGGGGCACAGCCTGCAGGGGCTGGGGATCAGGTGGCCCAAGGTAGAGGAGGGCAGCGAGGGCCCCAGGCATGAGGTGTGGACTCAGTGTCTCCACTGCACGAGGACCCCTGACCCTCTTGCTCCTGCACCCAAGGAACAGGTGAGGGTGGCTGGCAAGCCCCAGGCCATTTGAGGTTTCCCACACCTTTCTCCCTCTGGCTTCAGAGCTGTACACACCAGCAACCTACCAGCTAACTGAAGAGGGCTCCTTTACGTTGGTGGATGAAGAGGCCATGGAGAAGGTGTCTGTCTTGTTCCTGGGACCTGGGCACAGGGAAGGGTGGGAGCCTGGGCTCTGAGGAGCAGGCACAAAAGAGTTGGGGAGGTGGCACTTTGCTCTGAGGAATTCCTAAGTCTGGGGCCTCCCAGTGCTGAGCAGGGTAGGGCCTGTGGTCTTTACCTTTGGAAGGGACACAGCTGGAAGGCCTGGGGACTTTGGGCCTGCTCCCTGGCATCCATTGTGTCCCCAGGTGCCCTGGATCCCACTGGACCCCTTGGCTCCGGATCTGGCCCAGTACCCCAGTTACAGTCAGGCCCAGGCCCTTCGCTGCACGGTGCGGGCTGGTGAGATGCTCTACCTGCCGGCCCTGTGGTTCCACCATGTCCAGCAGTCCCATGGCTGCATTGCTGGTAAGGAGCTGCCCAGGTCTCCCAGGGGCAGCCCTGTCCAGGTGCAGCAGGGCATCTGGGGGATGGGCTGGGGAGGCTGTAGGTTAGAGGAGGGGCCCTTATGCTCAGGTCTCCCTTCTTGCCACAGTGAATTTCTGGTATGACATGGAGTATGACCTCAAGTACAGTTACTTCCAGCTGCTCGACTCCCTCACAAAGGCCTCAGGCCTTGACTGATGGAGCCCTGGTGAACAGTGCCAACAACAACTCTGGGAAAAGGTTGAACCCTTCCTGGGCCGGGTCCATTCTGGAGGCAACCTGGAGTGAGGCGTGCTGGCTGCCGGCCCAGCTCGGCTTGGGATCAGCTATGGAGGATTCCGGGAGGCAGTCTGGAGGCCCAGGAGGTGCCAGGCAGGTCTGGGTGTGGGCTCCCAGGAAGTTGCCACACAGGTGAGGCTGCAGCCTGTAATGGAGGAGGAGCAGGGCTGCAGGTGCAGCACCGCCACTCGCCAGCACTGTGGCCGTGACCTTGGGAGAGCTGCTGCCACAGAGCATTGGTGTCCTGTCTGTAAGATGGAGATAATGATGGTTCCTACCTCCTGGGGTGTTGTGAGGCTTGGAGGTGACATCTGTGTGGAGGTCATGGGGCTGGCATGGCAGAAGTGGTCAATAAAAGGCGGCTGTGGTTCGTGTGTGCTGTGACTCCCTCTCACATTTGCCTCCCATGGTCTGGGGAGGGCTGGAAGGTTCACGTAAACATTTCAGGGTGACCCTGGTTGGGGGTGACAGCTGGGTCCAGGCCTGAGCCTGAGGAGCTTTGCTGCCAAGACCCTTCTGTCCCTGACAGCCATCACAGCCCCTCTTGGGGCAAGCAGGTCGACCCCAGCCATGTTGTAACTCTGGTGCAGACCCCATTGACTCAGGGCCTGTAAAGCTATTCCTAGGTTTGCTCTGGCCTGTGTCCTCTCCTCTTCCAGCTCCAGGGCAGCTGGTGGGTCTGGTGCCCTAAGGGTCACCCCGTTTCTCCCACAATAAGCACAGAAACCCGTGCTCCTCCTGAGGCTGTTCCCCTACGGAAGAAGTGGGTCTCCGTGTTCGGACTCCCTCCCTCCTCACACCAAGCCAGCCCTGGAGACCCGGAGACGGAAGAGCTCCCTTCCCCGAATGCCAACCCATGCCTCATCCCACGCCACCCAGCACCCAGCTCCGAGGGTGGAGCCAGCTTGGCGTGTGACTTTGAAGGGCTGGTTCATAGAGCAAACCATGCCCCTGCCAGGTTATGATGGGGCCCGGGGCACTCCTCTCAGATTGGCCAAGCACTTCAGTCAAGACCGGGCATTCCTGTCACGCTGGCGCTGGGAGGTTGCGAAAGGCCCAGCGACAGGGGACATGGCTTTTCTGTTTACAGCTGCTCTGGGCCCACCTCCTGCTTTCCAGACCTCAGTGGCCCCTTCAGGCCCCACCTTCCAGTCTCCTTTCTGCTCAGCCTCTGACAATGAGCTCTCCTGGGGGCCCCACCTCTAGGTCAGGGCTGGGAGAGCAGGGTTGGGTAGTGCAGGCACAGATGGCGATGGTTGGAGAGAATGGGTCTTTGGACGTGTTGAGCCCCCACCGTGGGGGTGTCAGCACTTCATACAGGTTTAAGGTGGCTCACTTCCTGGACAAGTGGCTGGTCCAGGAGTAGGCGTGGGGCCTGGGTGGAGCGGAGGCGGTTGGGAGGGACCAGGGAGGAGCTTGGGACCAGCTGGGACATCCCTGGCTCTGGGTTAAAAAGCCCACAGTCCTCTGTCCTTGGGTCACTGCCCATCATTCCTGGCTCCCGAGGACTCTTAGCCTCATGGCTCTGGTAAGACCCAGTAGGGCACTGGACCCCAACTCTGATCTCTGGTTCCCCCAGGCCTGGTTAACACTTTCGTAAGGGAGCTGTGGGCTTCTCCAGGTGTAGAGGGGGGTTTGCTAGCCTTGAACCAGGGTGGAGAACAGAAGCCAGGGAAGAGGCAGGGTCTTGGGATGAGGGGTCATCCTGAGTTGTTCGTGCCCTAGAGATGGGGGCACTGTGGATTTGGCCCTGAGAACTCAGGCTCCCAGTTGCCATCCTGGGGCCCCAGAAGGAAGCGGCTGCTCTGGTCCTCCCTCTGACTCAGTTGCTTGAGGTGTGGGCGCCCCAGGGCTGACACTGATAGATAAGCTTCCCCAGCTCTGCCCCTGGACTCCATCCATTAGGGCCCCTCCTGAGGCAGGGCTCAAGGCCAGAAGGAACGACCAGTTGGCACAGGCTTCCCTGCTCTGGCACAGCTGCCAGGGTCTACGTCCCGGACCCCGGGTCGTGGGTTTGGATGGAGCTGCCAGAGGACCTTCCTCAGCCTGGTCTTGTAGGACCTGGAGGGCTTGACAGCCTGAAGGTGGTCTGAGCTAGTAACTGCTGTTCCTATCCTGACAGAGAGCAGATTTCCAGAATTCTCTCTTGGCCTCTCCTGGCCAGGGGTGTAGAGTATGGGGACAACTCAACCATGGCCCTGGGCTAGGTTAGGCCTTGACGTGCCTCTCCCCTACCTCTGTAGCCTATATCCCCCCGATCCTGGGCCTCTTGCCGCCCAAGACCAGCCTCAAGGCTGCTTAGCAAGGGGGAGCCAGAGGGATGGGGTGCAGAGACCAAAGGAGGCTGTACCAGGACCTGGAGGCAGGTAAGTGGGGGGTTGAGAGCACAAGTCAAGCTAGCCTGGTCCAGTCCTGGCCCTGGACCTCGGGCAGGTGACTACTTAGCCTTTCTATGTCTGAGTTTCCTTGTGGCGTTGGCCATAATAAGCAGTCCCCACGCACAGGGCAGTTGTGTGATTAGATGAGTTAGTGTGCAGGCAGCCGTGGGACGGGAGCTGGCCCGGAGCGTTGTGGTAAGTGTTGGCAAGCGTCATCAGGAGATGCCGCAGCCTCCTTTCCATTCAGGATTTGGATGGGGTGGAGGGCAGGGCTGTGGCTGGGCAGGATTAGGCCTCGAGGGTTGCCCTAGCTTCCCCTTCGGTCCTTGTCACCTTGGGGCCCATCAGCCTGCAGCAAGCCTGTCCCTCTCTCCCTCTTCAGGCAAAGGTGCCCGGGACCTGCCTTCTCACCATCCGTGTCCTGCAGGCCCGCGGCCTGCCCTCTAAGGACCTGGGTGAGTGCTGGGCCTGGGGAGGGCAGCGGTTCTGCAGCTGGATTCAGGGTGGGGCAGGGGCAGTGGGAAGAGATGTGAGTAAGGCTGGGCGTGCAGGGGGTCCTGGAGAGGGTACCAAGAGGAGGTCCTGGGTGGAATGTTGCCATCAGGCCTCAGCCTCTGCTCCTTCTGCCTCCTGACCCAGCCCCATTCCGTGGGTTGGGTCTCTGGGTCCCCCGGGGCTGCCTGTGATGGGAGGACATGGACTGGGCAGCTGGGTTGGCAGTGGCTCTTGGCCACACTGGAAGCTCATTCCTCCTTTCTGCAGTGACCCCCTCTGACTGCTATGTGACTCTCTGGCTGCCCACGGCCTCCAGCCACAGGCTGCAGACACGCATAGTCAAGAACAGCAGAAACCCCATCTGGAATCAGAGCTTTCACTTCCAAATCCACAGCCAGCTCAAGGTGGGCCAGGCGCAGGCGGCCCTGCTCACTGTCCCTGTCCACCCACTGCCACTGTCCCCTCCCAGCCCCTCATTCCCTGCCCCTGCCCTGCTCACCGTCCTATCCCACCACTCCATCTTGCAGCCCCTTGCTCTGTTTCCCTTCCAGAATGTCGTGCAACTGAACGTCTTTGACCAGGACCTTCTGACCAATGATGACCCCGTGTTGTCGGTGCTGTTTGACGTGGGGACTTTGCGGGCTGGCGAGTTCCGCCGTGAAAGCTTCTCGCTGAGCGCTCAGGCAAGGCTGACACAGGGCAGCGGAGGGCCTCAGCCTGGGAAAGGGGACGCTTTGGAGGGTGGCTAGGTACATGGCCCTCTTCTTCTGGACCAGTGAGTGGCCCAGGCTTCCCTGGCATCCCAGAGGCCTCTGTCAGCCAGGAGCTACTGTCCACTGAGGAGCAGTCCCATCCCTGACCCTCCTTCTTGGCCTCTGAGCTAAGGGCGGCTTTCTTGGAGCGGTCCAGAGAAGGTGGACAGAGCAGCCTGGGGATGGACAATGGCTCTCAGCACTCGGCTGAGGCCCCAGCAACCCCAGCTGGCGTCTGGGTGGGAATCTGCACACGCACCCACACGTGCACATACACGCTCACTCACACTCCTCACCCTTTCTAACTTGCTTCTTTCTCCAGGGTGAGGAGCAGCTGGAAGTTGAATTTCGGCTACAGAGTTTGTGAGTCAGGGGCCGTGGGGATTCCCGGGTAGGGGTGCTTCCTTCCGGGAAGGACAGAGCCCAGCACACCCAGAGCCGACACCCCACCCCGGGAGACATCCAGTGGTGGAGGAGGAACACCCAGGCCTGCTTGAGGGGTGAGAGCCGGGGAACCTGGACTCCCATTAAGGTCACTGGGGGCTCTTTTCAGGACAGACTGTGCTGAGCAGCTCATCAGCAATGGCATCCTGGTGGTGAGTTGAGAACCCCTCCTCCCCGGGCCTGAAGCTTGGGCCCGCCATGGGGGTCAGTGGGTAGAGCCAAAGTGGGGGGCCCTGGGACTTCAGTTCCTCAAGAGGATACACTCTCAAGTGAATGTTTGGTGGCTCAGGGCCAAGGTAATAAAGTCTGAGAAACAAGAAGCAGGATGCTGGGAAGGTGGGGTCTCTGACAGGCCAGGGGTTCGCGTCTGAGGGGCTCTCTTGACAACTCAGGCCCGGGAACTCTCCTGCTTGCATGTTCGACTGGAGGAGGCAGGGGACCAGCAAGGTGAGTTCTCGACCCACGGGGATGGCCCCCTGCCCTCAGCCCTGGTCTTCCCCCTTTCTAAGGAGCCCTCACCAGCTGCCCTCGGCTCTGGTGCCCCAGGCAGGAGTGGGTGTTGGGGGCAAATCCATGCTGGGCCCCCCGGGCCTGAGCTTTTCCCCTTAGTCCTCAGAGGGGCTGGGGTGGCTCCATCTCCCAGCCTCAGCCTGGGTCAGACCTCCGTCTCAGTGGGGGGAGCAAAATGTCCCCCAACCCCCTTAGGCAAGACAAGGACCTTTCTGGGCGGAGATCCCATTCCCGGCCTCTGCTCTGGTTCCTGTTTCCAGGGTCAGAGCGCAGAGTGCAGCTTATGGTTCCCGGGTCCTGTGAGGGCCCGCAGGAGGCCTCTGTGGGTGCCGGCTCCTTCTGCTTCCATTGCCTGGCCTGCTGGGAGCAGGAGCTGAGTATCCATCTGCAGGTAGGGTGCCACTCCCTCCCGTGAGGCAGCCCGCAGAGCCTTTCTCCCTCCTTCCCTCAGCTCCTCCTCCTAGCCTCTGCCTCTGCTCACCCTGAGCCCCCATCACTCCCTGGCAGAGTCAGGTACCCTGCGAAGAGGGTGGGGTCGATGGCAGCCTCCTGTCCCCCTTCCTACTGCTTCTCTGTCACTCCAGGGGCAATGGGTGAGGCCCTTGATGGAGCGGAGGGTAGAGATCCTTAGTCTCCTTTCATCCCCCCTGCAGGATGCCCCCCAAGAGCAACTGAAGGTGCCCCTGAGGGCCCTGCCCTCTGGCCAAGTGGTGAGGCTCGTCTTCCCTACATCCCAGGTACTGGTCACCAGAGGAAGAAAGCCAGATGCGTGGGCAGGGCTGGACCCCAGGCCTTGAGGGCCTGCTCCTGTAGCAGCTTCCGTCCTTAGGCTACACCCTGGACAAGTGCTGGGGCCAGGCTCTGGGGAGAGGGTCCTCTGAGTATCCCTACCTTCAGGCTCAGGCCTGGCCCCTGTGGAGATGGCTGGGGACCCAAGGGAGCATGGGGACATGGTGGGGTGTGGCTCAGGCTGGGGCCAGAGGCACAGGCAACCAGCCTTTGTGACTGTAACATTCATGGTTTTCAGGAGCCCCTGATGAGAGTGGAGCTGAAAAAAGAAGAAGGGTGAGGTTGGGCGGGCACTGGGAAGGTCATGGGGAGGCAGCCAGTTACGGAGGCGGCAGTCAGGCCTGCGCCCTGGAGGAGCAAGGCGAGAGACAGGGTGGCTCCCAGCACGGTCGCCATGCGTCCTCTCTGCGGACACTCAGGGGTTGGCTCCCAGGGCAGAGCACAAAGTGCTGGGGGAGCCGTAGCAGAGAAAGGCCCTTAACATTTCACTTGCGTTTCTGCTTTCCCCTTCAGAGGGGTGTGTGTCTTGCCCAGTGTCTGGTGCTTGGGAGGCACTGGATCAATGTTTGGCTGGAAAACCAGGTGGAAGGTGAGGAGAGTGGTTTGAGGCACAGAGAAGGCAAGGAAACCAAGAGAGGAGAGAAATGGTGCCCTTTCGGGTGCAGCTGTTGTGGGTGGACCTTAGCTAACCTTCGTGAGATGAGAGGAGTCGTCCACCCTGGCCCTCCGCATGCCTGGGAGACAAGCTTCTCACCACGAAGAGGTGGGGACACTGTTTCCCGCCCCCTCTGTAGTCATGTTCATGTAGGTGAGGGAGAGAAGCTGAGAGGCAGAAGTAGATCTATGGTATTGGGTCCCACCAGGGGCCTGTCTACACCCGGGACCCTGGTAGGGCCTCTTCAGTCACCAGCTTCCTGGCATGCCTGTGAATCCACTTTACTGCGTTCCCCAAGTGTGTCCCCACGTGGGTCTGGGCTCCCCTTCTCCCCATTGCACCCACACACGTCACGCTTCACTAGGACACAGAAGCAGGGGTGAGGGGTGTGGAGAGGAGAGGAGAGATGGCAGTGGGCTTTTCAGGGCAGACAGACTCAGCTTCCCTTTATCTGACGAGGCCAGTTGCTGCCTCATGGTCCTTCCTCCCCACCCAGACCGAGGGAGCTGGCTGTGCGGCTGGGCTGCGGGCTCTGCACCGAGGAGCAGGCTTTCCTGAGCAGGAGGAAGCAGGTGGTGGCCAGGGCCCTGAAGCAGGCCCTGCAGCTGGATGGAGACCTGAAGGAGGACGAGGTCTGGGTGCTGGGCTGGATTGGGTGGGGTCTTCGGGCAGTGCTGAGTGCTGGAACTGGTTTTTCCCCAACCAGACCAGAGCTGGTGCCAAGCGGGGCTTGATCCTGCCCCCTGTCTGCCAGCCCCTGCTCTGCTTCCCCCTCACTTGATGGTATCAGGAGCTTGATGACATCAAATGCAGAGCATTATATGGGGCACCTGGAGCTCGCAGACACAACTCCCCTGCTGGGCTAGCTTTCCTTCTGGTTGTTTCTCAATCTTTGGCCCGGTCCGGGTTTTGAGACGGGCCTGGTCTGACTGATCAATGAGACCTGCGGCCTGAGGGCTGCCTGCCGGCCTGGGCAGTCCCTGGAAGTTCAGATCAGCCTGTGGCATCTCCTTGCAAGAGGGGAGGGGTGGCTGTGTGGGAGACTGTTGAGGTGGCCCTGGGGCTTCTAGAAAGGGATCACCAGAATCCTCAGGGGCTAGAGGTGAGGAGATGAGGCCTGGAACTTGTCCATTTTTCCTGGAGTTCTTAAAACCAGACAAGCCTGACCCTCTCGAGGCTGTTTCTGACCAGACCCTCCTCAGTAGGCCTGACTAGAACTCGGCCCAAGAGCCTTGATCAGAGCTTGACCAACCTTGGCTGTGGGTGAGCTGAGTGCCGCTTGGCTTACTACCTCCCCTGCCTGTGGCTTGGCCTTCCCCCTCCCTAAGGCCTCTCTGAGCCTAGCTATCTTCTCTTCCAGATCCCAGTGATAGCCATTATGGCCACTGGCGGTGGGACCCGGGCAATGACTTCCCTGTATGGGCACCTGGCTGGCCTGAGGGAGCTGGGCCTCTTGGATTGCATCTCCTACATCACAGGGGCCTCGGGCTCTACCTGGTGAGCTGGCAGCAGGTTGAGTGCAGGAGCCTGGGGGTGGCTAGTTGGGTCGTGGCAGGTGGGTCCGGGTGGGAAGGCTCTTAGACCCCACAGGCCTCTCTGACCACCTTGGGAGGGCTGGGAGAACACGTGTGCCTGAGAGAAATGTGCTCAAGGGGACCCTGGGAAGGTGCCTGCCAGGCTTTTGTCCTAGAACGGAAAGCCCAAGGCAGGCAATGGGGTCCTTGAGTGACGATGCCCTGCCTTTGGCTTTTCCCAGGGCTTTGGCCAACCTCTATGAGGACCCAGAGTGGTCTCAGAAGGACCTGGCAGGGCCCACTGAGTTGCTGAAGGCCCAGGTGACCAAGAGCAAGCTGGGCGTGCTGGCCCCCAGCCAGCTGCAACGGTACCAGCAGGAGCTGGCCGAGCGTGCCCGCCTGGGCTACCCGACCTGCTTCACCAACCTGTGGGCCCTCATCAACGAGGCGCTCCTGCATGATGAGGTGTGGGGAGGGCTGCAGCCTGGGGTGCAGGCGGGGGCGGCCAAAGCCGGGGCAGGGCTGGGGGTGGTGAGCAGCCCTGGGCAGCAGGGGTGGGAAAGGCCCCAGGCCGCCACAGCTTTAGGTTCAAATCACTCCCTGCTCCAGCCCCATGACCACAAACTCTCAGACCAGCGGGAGGCCCTGAGTCGCGGCCAGAACCCTCTGCCCATCTACTGTGCCCTCAACACCAAGGAGCGGAACCTAACCACCTTTGAATTTGCGGGTGCGTAGCCCTGGCACTGAGACCTGTGCTCTCGCAGTCGGCGGGGTGAGGGGTTGCGGGGGCTGTGTGTGTATGGTGTGGGTTTTACACCCACCTCTTTGGGGTCAGGTCCCATGCTCTCCAGAGACTGTCATTCTACCAGAGTCACTCAGGCTTGGGGATGGGGGCACTGGCCTTGGCTCCCATGCTCAAAGGGCCAGCAACGAGGCCGAGCCTCCTGGTCACCAGGCTGCCCTGATGTGAAGCCCGTGGTGGGTGCATTGGTGCCCAAGAGTTCTCAGGTTCTGGGCCCTGCAGTGAGGCTGTGTGGCCTCCTCACAGAGTGGGTCGAGTTCTCCCCCTACGAGGTCGGCTTCCCCAAGTACGGCGCCTTCGTCCCCTCTGAGCTCTTCGGCTCCAAGTTCTTCATGGGGCGCCTGACGAAGCGGCTCCCTGAGTCCCGCATCTGCTTCCTGGAAGGTGAGGGGGTCTGGAAGGCTGGCGAAGTTGGGGCTTGGGGGACATGGACGACCTTCCCAGCTCAGTTCCCTGGTCCCGAATGGGTGGTGGGGAAGGCCAGGTTGTGACGGGGTGGGGCACTCTCCTCCCCTCGTGTCCCCTCTCTTAGGCATCTGGAGCAACCTGTATGCAGCCAACCTCCAGGACAGCTTGTACTGGAGCTCAGAGCCCAGCCAGTTCTGGGACCGCTGGGCACAGGCTCAAGCCAGCCTGGGTAGGTGCCTGAGCGGCTTTGTAAGGATGTGGAAGGGCAGCCTGTGGGGCTGGCTCTGGAGGATGGTGGAGTGGCTCTCAGGCCTGTGGGAGTCCACAGAGGCTGGGATAAAGGTCCAGGGGCTGCTATTTCCTGAAAGATGCCCCACTTCCCCCCCTGACTGTGCAGACAAGGAGCAGGTCCCTCTTCTGAAGATAGAAGAACCTCCCACCATGGCCAGCAGGATGGCTGAGTTTTTCACCGACCTTCTGACGCTGCGCCCACTTGCCCAGGCCTCCCACAATTTTCTGCATGGCCTCCATTTCCACAAGGACTATTTCCAGCATCCTTACTTCTCCTTCTGGAAAGGTGTCCGCTCTTCTCCCCCTGGTCCCAGCTCTCCAAAGTCTTCCCACCGCCGCCTGAGCCTTGGGTCCCTGGTCCAGACTCCCGCACTCTCCAACCCCTCAGCCCCAAGCCCTGAGAGCTCCGTTCCCTGGCCCTTGGAGCAGGAGCCCCTTCTCCTCTCCATGTGTTGGGCATCAGGACCTGTCTCAGGCCTTGGGAAGTAGAGGTGCTACTTTGGCGGGAGAGGGCAGGGGCCAGAGAGCAGAGTCTCCTTCCACCAGCAGCGAGGAGCTGGCGTTAGGCCAGGGGGATCTGGTGCCCCCAGCACCAATGACAGCTGCTGCTTCCCCACCCCATCCTCTCAACCTTCCCAGCCACCAAACTGGACGGGCTCCCCAACCAGCTGACCCCCGCAGAGCCCCACCTCTGCCTGCTGGATGTCGGCTACCTTGTCAACACCAGCTGCCCACCCCTCCTGCGGCCTACCCGGGATGTGGACCTCATCCTGTCACTGGATTACAACCTCCATGGAGCCTTTCAGGTGGGCTGGGGGCGGACAGGACATGTCACGGTGGGACCTGAGGTGCTGGGGCAGGCTTGGGAGGCAGTGGGGAACCTTAGGCCTGACATCCTGGCTCTGCCCCTGGGGAAATCTACCTTGGAGTCCAGGACCTGGTCCAGTTTCCCTTAAGGGCTATGACAGTGACACCATGTGAAAGGAAGACCGTGGATTCTGTGAATTCACCACCAGGGACTCTTACTCTGCTCTGGAAGTTGGAGTGGGGGGGGAGCTGGTGATGTTTTCAGATGTATTCCATATTTGGGTCCCCTTTGCCGCACCTGCACCCCTGTTTGCTCCTGGACCTCTGGGACCCCATGCTTTGAGTTTCTGTGTTGGTCCAGGGAAGGTTTTTGCCTCCCAGTTGCAGAACCTGGGGGCAGTTAGCAGCCAGCTCAGTCAAGCCCAGAGGAGCTGCAGCAGAGGGGCATTTTCCAGGTCTGGCCTGACTCTGTCGGGTCCACTAGAGTCTGATTTGGCATCTGGGCACTAAGTCCCATGCGTCTTAGCGGGCCTCCATGTTCAGTCAGCCCAGCGTTGAGGACCTGGGGAGCCCATGAGTCTGCCCTTCTGACGCCCCTTCGGTCCACCCTGCAGCAGCTGCAGCTCCTGGGCCGGCTCTGTCAGGAGCAGGGGATCCCGTTCCCGCCCATCTCGCCCAGCCCTGAGGAGCAGCGCCAGCCGGGGGAGTGCCACGTGTTCTCGGACCCTGGCTGCCCCGAGGCCCCTGTCGTGCTGCACTTCCCTCTGGTCAACGACTCCTTCCAGGAGCACTCGGCCCCTGGTGAGCCATGGTCCCAGCCCCTCCAGCTCGCTGTCGTGGTGCCCCTGGCCCCCTGTCCTTCGTCCCACCTCCTCTGTCCTCTATGCCTCTCCGCAGGTGACCCCAAACCATCCTCCACCCCGTGTGTTTTCCCCTCCATGCCCGGCCGGTACTCTCTCTCCTTAGGGGTGCAGCGGACCCCGGAGGAGAAGGAGGCTGGGGAGGTGAACCTGTCTTCGTCCAACTCTCCCTACCACTACTCGAAAGTGACCTACAGCCCAGAGGACATGGACAAGCTGCTCCGCCTGACGCATTACAATGTCTGCAACAGCCAGGAGCGTCTGCTGGAGGCCCTGCGGGAGGCTGTGCAGCGGCGGAGGCAGCGCAAGCAGCAGCGGCCGGGCCCAAGTGATGGTGGTGCCCTGGCCTGAGGCTGCCATCCAGCCCCTGCCGCCCCGGACTCTTTTTCAGGCTCACTCCCCGTCTGCCTGGCTGCTCTGGTTGAGTTGGGGGGGAGACTGTCGTCACCAAGTGTTCCAGAGCCTCTGGGGACTCCATTGGGTGTGTGCCCAGCGCCACCCAGATGTAGCACTGAAGCCAGCAGCAGCCCTGCCAGGCACCCCTGGGTAGGTCGAGGGCTTCACACAGGGGCAGGGCCCATCCCTCTTGGTTGCCGGCCCGTTGGGGCCTGGTCCCAGAAAGGCGGCTGGAGCTGGCTTCCTCTTTGAGTGAGTGGCCGGAGCCCAGAGCAGTGCTGAGCCCATCTGTGTAAGCAAGCAGAGCTCTGGCCCTGTGTTTGTCTTCCCCTCCGTGCTCCCTTGAGGAGCTGTACAGTGAAATAGAGCACGTCCTGTTTTACAGAGGCTCACACACCTGTGAGGCGTTATCTGAGATTATCTGTCATTGCTGCCGAAGGGACATTCATTACAAGCTCTTGGTTACACGTGGCAAGGATTGGTTTAAAAGACAAAATGGGGGCCGGCTCCGTGGCCGAGTGGTTAAGTTTGCGCGCTCTGCTGCGGCAGCCCAGGGTTCGGATCCTGGGCGTGGACATGGCACTGCTCGTCAGGCCACGTTGAGGCAGCGTCCCACATCCCACAACTAGAAGGACGTGCAACTAAGAGATACAACTGTGTATAGGGGGGTTTGGGGAGATAAAAGCAGGAAAAAAAAAAAAAAGAAGATTGGCAACAGTTGTTAGCCCAGGTGCCAATCTTTGGGGGAAAAAAAAGGAAGATTGGCAACAGTTGTTAGCCCAGGTGCCAATCTTTAAAAAAAAAAAGGCAAAATGTAATGTCTCCCCAGGCCCCATACAGAGCTAGTGGGTCAGCGTGGGCTTCCCCTGAGGGGTGGCCCCCTGCTCATGGCCGAGTCTACCCCATGCTCAGGGCCACCCTTTTCAAGCAGGGACAAGGCGACTTTCGCCTGTGGGTTTCCGCTGCTGCAGCCCTGGCAGGTGAGCAGACTTGCAGACAGTGACTGCCAGCAGAGAGGCCAGGGACTCAGGCAAAGGGCTGGTTCCTGTCCCACAGTAAGGGTGGCCAGACCTGGGACCAGATGAGCTAAGGAAAGAGAGAGCGCCAACGGTGTAACTCCAGCAAGCAGTGACCTTGATGGGGCCGTCCTCACAGAGAACCATCTATTCTAGAAGTTGGTCACGAGGGGCCTGGTTGCTGAGTCTCATTCTGGTCCCCTCGTGGGTGTCCTCACTTGTAGCTCTGAGGTTTGGTGCCACCTCAGGGTTCACTTCAGGGCCCAGACCTGCTGGGAGAACAGGGAGGCAGAGTGAATTTAGGGCCCAGCCACCCTAGAATCTTATCCAGGCACTGGTGCCCCAGGCCTCTTGCCTCCCTTCGAATATTCCACCTCCTCCTAACATAGATGTGAGATGTGGATGCTGGGAGCAGTAACCACTGTGTGTGGGGCGGGTGGGAGACAGGTGGTTCTCATGCCCCAGCTCACTGCATCTGCCTGTCCTGGGCATGTGGCTCGAGTCACAAAGCAGCAGAAATGGCTGCCTTGGCAGCTGCAGAAGCACTGTGTCCAGGACAAGGCCCGTTCACTCAGCAGCACATCATCTGAATCATAAATGGGAGCCTGCAGGCTGCAGGAGAAGGAGTGGATAGTTAGACCCGAGACACAACCATGGCTGCCGCCCCGTCACCGTGGGAGTGCTCCTCAGGCACACGGCTGTATGTGCGCGTCTGTCTCTGTATCTAGTCTGTGTATGTGTCCGGGTGACGTCCCGGCCCTCTCTAGGACAGGAAGGCCCCTCTCCCCTTTGGACTGGGGAGAGCAGGAGAGGATGGAGGCAGAGGCAGGGACAGGAGCGCGGGTGTGGCAGGGCTCTGGCTGTCCTGTAAACCGCCGTGCAAACAATGCTGTGTCTTGGAGGGAGAAAAGGAGCAGACCAAGGAGTGAGGGCTGCATGGGCTCGAGGCGGACAGAGTGGGCAGGTTTTCTAGCATGTGCAAAGGGGACCCGTGTGCCCCTCACCTGGGGTCCGGCCTGAGCAGGAGAGGCGGTGGGAGCCTTGTGCGTTTTCCTCTGCAGGGCCAGCCATCGGCAGGGACTCCAGGGGCTGTGGGCATCTCTCCCTCAGCGGGGAGGGCAGGGCCCCAGTGGCACTAGCCCCTGGTGGGGGACGTCCGTGGAATCTGTGGGGAAAGACAGACTGCCATCACTGCAGAGAGTGAGCATGGTTTGCACCAGGCGTTTGATGGAGGGGGCAGTGCTAGGGCTGTCTGTTTCCTGGGGGTGGTCGAGGGTCTCAAATGTGGGGGTTACCCCACACCCTAGCAGTGTAGGTCTGAGTCCCAGGCCTGCAGGCTTGAGAGGGCACCATCTGTGGCAGTCACGGAGGCTCAGGACTCCCGCCCGCCCGCAGCCCACATGCCCTACCTGAGCGGAGCGGCCATGCTGGGCAGCCCCTCAGTGGCCAGGGAGCCTGGAGGCCTGCCTCTGGGTTCTGGGCTCAGACTGTGGGCTGCAGAGCAAAGGCAGAACAGCGGTCAGCCCTGACCCGGAGGCCGGCCATCCGCAGGCAGCAGCCTCCCTGCGTGCTGCTTCCTCCTTGCACCCTAACCCCAGGGCGACCGTATTAGGAGGGGGACCTTCGGGAGGTGCTTAGGTCATGAGTTGGAGACCTTATAAAGGAGACCCCAGGAGCTCCCTCTCCCCTCTGCCCTGTGAGGCTACAGCAAGAAAGCAGCTGTCTGCAGCCCGGAAGCAGGCGCTCACCAGACACCCAATCTGCTGGCGCCTTGATCTTGGACTTCCCACCCTCCAGAACTGTGGGAAATAAATGTCTCGTTTAGAACCTGCCAGTCTGTGGTATTCTGTCACAGCAGCCCAGCAGACTGAGGCACTCCTGCCTCTGGAGGCCCTGGCCGCACAAACCTTCCCACCAGGAGGTCGGTGCGAGCAGGGGCGGGTCTGCCTCCCGGACACTGAATGCAGAGGGACTGGTGAGAAAGGCTCAGCGGGAGGAGATGCTGAGACGCTGAAGAAACTCAGGATCCCTTTGGGGTTCTCAAAGGACAGGCTCAGGGAGAGACCCGAGGGGGAACAGGCAGAGCGAGGAGCCCAGCGAGCCTGGGAGGAGCAGGAAGGGACTCCTGGTGGAGCCCCAGCAGTCTCAGGACATGCCTCAAGCACGCTCTCCTCCGGGACTGTCAGACCACAGAGAAGGTGCTCGGTAGGGGTGCTTTCTAAGCGCCCCCTGGTGGCAGAACTGGGTTTGGCCGCTGTCTACAAGACACCGCGAGGGAGGTGCATTCAGAGCAGTCTGAGGACTAGAGTGTTAGAGACGCCCCAGGATCAGACAGCAGAGCCTAGGAAAGCCCACGAGGATCCTCACGGGAAGGGCTCTGGAGTCAGACAGCAGACCAGGAGGCCGCCAGGCATCATGTCTGACCCTGTCTGTTACTAATGAGCTATGTGATCTTTGGCAAGCTGCTTACAGGCTCTGGGCCTTAAATTTTTTGAGAAAAGACAATAAGTCCCACTTACCTCTCAGGCTATAGAGATGCAAGATGTGAAACTTTCCAAGGATGCATAAAACAGCAGCAGCCTGGGGCCCAGGGAATCAGTGCCCCCCACACCCCACCCTAGGCTTCCCCTGGAGCCCACCTGTGGCCCTGCTCAGGGCTCGCAGCCAGCTGTCAGCCTGCGCTTCTGACGGTGCTGCAAACAGGATCTCCGTCCCGCTGCTCAGCCTGGCTCCCAGACAGCCATAGGTCACACTCTTCGCAGGGGACCCCTGCCTCCAGCCCCCTGTGCCCGCTGAGTCAGCATATCCTGGGCGGTGTCTCTCCCCAGGTGGTGCTAACCTTAAGGAGAAGCTGTGTTTCCTGCCTTGGTGGTCCCTCGGCTTCTCACACTGGGCTCCCACGAGGTCAAGGGTGGCCATGGAAGCCACTTTCTGAGGGGAAATAAGAGGCAGGTCACCATGGCCAGCTCAGCTTTTCCCCATGGGGCCCTCTGTCCTCTGCCCTCCCCACATGCCATCTGGTACCTCCACTGCCATCCTCTGATCTGGGAACAGGCTCAGGGAACTGCTTCCCAAGACCCCATAGCAGCCATCCCAGGAGCTCGAGCTGGGCTGTGGAGAGAAGGCAGTGAGGTGGCACCGGGCCCAAGGTGCCCATGGGGAAGAGGGAGCCATTTCCAGGGAGGCTGGGAGGAGGAGCCCTGCCTCACCTGGGTGTGGGCAAAAGCTGTAGCGTGGTCCCAAGAAGCTGAACTGCCCTAAGAATGGGGGCCGGGAGGGGGAAGTCCACCCAGAGTCCACAGCAGCCCTTCTGAGCGCCTTGAGTGGTTCTGGGGAGGGGAGCTGCCTGGAGACGGGATCTCCTGGCACTTACCTGCCTCTCCCCGGCCAGGGGCTGCTGCTTAAGCTCCAGAAACCCCTCCATGGTGGGGGCACCCTTTGCATCCTGGAAATGCAAGATGGGGCCCAGGAAACATCAGGACCAGCACAGAGGATGGGCCCCTTCTGGAAGGTGGGCTTGGTATCCACTCCTCCCTGACCTCCTCATTGCCCGTGACCCTCAGCTCCTGTGCCTGGTGCTCCCGGCCGCCAGTGCCTCAGTGCTGGCTCCAGGGTGTGGGCCCCTACCCTCATGGCCTCACTGGGCTCCTGCTGTCCGGCCGCATGCTCCAGGGAGATGGTGGTGGCAAAGAGTGTGCGTGGCCCAACAGGGACACCCGATGGCAGGACCCTTGTCTCAGCCAGCTGTGCTCCTGGCCACCAGCTTCCAAAGGGCCTCTGGTGGAGGGAGGTCAGCTCACTGCCGACTGTCCCAGGTTTCAGCCCCTTCACTTGCTGTTCCATCTTGGGGAGGGGAGCAAGGTGAGCCAGGTCAGGGCTCCAGGGGGGGGTCCATGCCCAGCCTCTCCTCCCCAAACCCCTCCCACCCAGAGAGCCCCTGTCTCCTCACTGTTCTTCATCTCTTCCTGCTTCACTTCAGACTTCCCTCTCAACCCAGTCCACAGTGGTGCCCTAGCCTACCAGGACAGAGGGTGACAGGGACTGGCAACGGAAAGTGGGGCTTTCCTGAAGGGTCAGATGTGGACTTAGTGCTCTGGGGAGACCCCGACTCTCAGGCCCCCAGCCCTCAGGCCCCTGTCTCCTGGTGCACCCTTGGCCCAGCCTTGCTCACCTCCACCTTCCTCTGCAGTTGGGCAAACTTTTCTTCCTGGGCTGCCAGTAGCTTTTCGAAGTCCTGGTGTCTGCGGAGCAGCAACTCCACATCTGACACTGACCGCTGGGGAGAAGTGAAGCCCGGGTTGAGGCCCAGCTCCTGGGGCTGCCGAGCCTTCACCTCGCCCTCTGCAACCGGGCCCGGGTGGCCAGCGAGCAGAGGAGCAG